AGGAAAATAAAATCTTGATTTTGATTCTATGATGTATTTTCTAATATGGAAGTCTAGATTGTATATAATAAGTTGATTTTGACAGTGACATGGAAAGTGAATGATTTCTTGTCTTAAAGTTCTATTATCTAACTTTTTCCAGAATTGATCTTATCTGATTTTTATACTCTTTAAGTATTTTATTATCTTGTTTGATTATTATAAACTATGATTTTTACTTGTTGAGACTTGAGAATATTATTTTTTATAATTTTTGATAATTTTTATAAACTTTTAGGTCATTTTATGCTTTTTATTACTAGATTTATCTCTTATTTTAATTATTAGATTTATATTTTAATTTTTTTATTAAATACCCGCTATTTGTCTATAGCGGCCGCTATGCTACCCGCTACGCTATCATAGTGGATTTCGGCCTTTCCGCTATTTGCCACTATCCGCTATTGATAACACTGACTATCATTTGTAAAATTAAGTGAGTCTATAATCTCCATACCTCTGGTGCAGCATAATTTGGGCTTCCACAACTTGTTTTCAGAAAATGACCATCTCGCATTATGTTGCTCAAGCCAAAATCCGCAATCTTCACATTACACTTAGAATCTAGAAGCAAGTTCTCAGGCTTAAGGTCTCGATGAACCACCATATTTCTGTGGCAGTACTCAACTCCAGAAATAATCTGCTTGCAGACAAAGTTACTCAACTGTAACACATTTTTCAGAAAAAACAAATGGCAGAGGGCCTCCAATTAACAAAGTTCACAATCCCTACCTGCTGAAAGAAATTACGAGCTTCATCTTCCTGCAGCCTACCCTTTTCAACAATGTAATCAAAGAGTTCCCCAGATTTTACATATTCCATAACAACATAGATGTCACTAGAGGTCTCTATCACCTCATAAAGTCGTATAATATGAGGATGCATAAACAATCTCAAAATTTTGATCTCTCTTCTAACTGCATGAAAATAAAAGAAATTGGAATCAATAAGAACAAAAAGGCAAAATATCAGCCTTTCATAATTTCAGTATCTCATGCAAAACGTTGAAGCAACAATCAGAAACAAACAGAAATGAAAAAGGAGAAGTGTAAGGGGGAAGGGGAAGGCTATCGAATATAGTTATACCCTCCCAAATCCCAATACAAGGATTTATGGATAAAAACCTAAGGTTTAGATTTTCAACCAAAGACAAGGTGCTCATTTCTTAAAATTTAAGGATGCTTCTTTATCCTATACTCAATTTTTAAAAATATATTGTAATAGCAATATGACTAGGAGGTACACATTCAAAACAATAAACTTAGTAAACCATTCCCACACATTAAACATATACCTTTCTCTTCCATTTCCATGCTCTTAATCTTGCGACGGTTAAGAATCTTGATAGCGACTTTATGCCCAGTCAGTGCATGCTCAGCAATTTTCACCTTGCCAAAGGACCCGATACCAAGAGTTTTTCCAAGCTTGTAATTTGGTAAAATCATATCCACACCACTGTTGCCTCTGCTAGAACCATCCATTTTTTCTGTTTGAAAACTAAATATTAGATCAACAACAAGAAGCAGAAGACTCTCAAAAATCACACAAAAACACAATAATAATTTGAATATTCGCATCTGAGCAGATTTTTTACAATGGCCTAATAGTTCAGGAACCAACTTTTTATAAACCAGATAGCATATAAAAGTAACAACCTTTTATGCTGCCATAATAGGTATTAAACTTGCAATGACACAAGAATAAATATTTGACATGAGTTGACCCTCTTTAAAATCACCCCTTCTAGAGTCCAAGTTATATTCTACTTTGCAGGAACTAATCCCCTTCTACAGAATAAAATTTAGATAAGTACACATTCATATATCCAGGGAAAAAAATTGTTTAACAGGATACCCGTCTAAGAGTTACTAAAATGCTAAAAATTTTGCAACTTTAATTATGAATCATGATCCGTCTTAGATAAACAAAGAGAACAAGATATAAGGAAAATTACATGTACCATGCGCTCAGAGTTTATTCATTTAAAAATTCAACATCAAAACACTCTTCTTTGACAAACTACTCAATCTGACCGCCCACCAAGTAACAAAGCTACGGGAGAAAGGTAAGTGAATTTGCTAGAACGATGTACTTACATACATACAAAGATAAAGATGGCAGGGGCTGCCCTAGTATTCACAAATTGAAAGAATAACAAGAATCAATTTTAGAGCAAAAGTGAATCGTATCAAGGATCATAGAATAAAGTCAACCATTGCTTTTCTTAACACTAATACTCAACCCCACTCCCCCACCCTCTCACCCATTTCACATACAAACCAGATAAAGATATGCCCAAATCGTATTCCGGACTAAGAACAAAAATGCTGGAAATCCTGAAGCTCTCGGACACATTCTCACGCTAAGGAAAGGAACAGTGCACACAATTTACGGACTGAAACTAGAAAAAAAAAAAAATCTTCATCTTTTGCTAGAATTTGATCTAAAACCGTTGCCCTAATTTGAATTGGCAGTGAAAATTTGGGGAAGAAGAACATACCTAACAGGAATCGGCGGCTGAGAGGATATGTGTTCCTGGATTCGACGGAACAAGG